TGGCTGCCAATCAAACAACGCATCAGCTACAAAATCCTCCTCCTCACTTACAAAGCACTTCATTCTCTGGCACCCAAGTACATCACTGACCTTCTTCACCCGCTCACTCAGTCACGGTCCCTGCGCTCCACCAGCAAGAACTTACTTTCCATCCCCCGTACCAGACTCAAGACCTTTGGCGACAGGGCTTTCTGTGCAGTGGCCCCGGCTCTTTGGAATGCCCTCCCCCCTCCTATCCGTTCCGCAACTTCCCTGACACAGTTCCAAAAGCACCTTAAAACACACCTTTTCTCTCTTGCCTACCCTTCCTAACCCCCTTCCTGTCCCTACCCCCCTTACTTCACCTCTTGTAAAGCGACCTTGGGTGTCCTGAAAGGCGCTATATAAATAAAAGTTATTATTATTATTAAAGTGCAGAGACTCCAAAATCACCACACACACCAAGGGGCTCTTGGTGATCGCACTACAACAGCTGGTTTGGAAAAAATACACTTTTACTTAATTTTTTAGAATTTTCTATTGTTATTAACTATTAATATCATCATATTTTGATTAATAGCTCTGTGATTATACAGTGCAGACACTCAAAAATCATCAAACAAACCGATAGACTCCTGGTGATCATAATACAACAGCTGTTTTTGAAAAAGACACCTTTGCTTATTTTTTAGAATTTTTTATTGTTATTATATTTTAATATCATCCTGTTTTAATCAATAGCTCTGTGGTTATACAGTGCAGACACTCCAAAATCACCACACACACAAAGGGACTCTTGGTGATCACACTACAACAGCTGTTTTAGAAAAAATACACCTTTTTATAACTTTTTGTGAATGAAGTACACAGAGATGCTAGGCAGATGGGAGTTCTTTATGAAGTAAAATAGAATGATATTAATGCTTAATAATAACAAAAAAATCTAAAGAAAATAAGTAAATGTGTATTTTTCTAAACTAGTTGTTGTAGTAAGGTTTTGCGTTCTCACGCAAAAGGTTTTGCGAGGTAACACAAAATTTTGCGAGTTAACGCAATACTTTTGCGAGGGAACGCAAACGAACAAAAAATTCCCCATGTCTCCTACGGGGCTCCGTAGAGCTGTACTAAAGTGAGCATCACTACACAGTAGAAAGAAATGGGTCAAGGCACCAAAAACAAGGTACCAGACATCCATGTATTGTTTACTCTGAACACACATTTACCCCATTTGTTCCTCAGTAACTTGACATACAGCCGTTAAGGCAACATGAAAGGGACATTTCATGCATGTAAATATGCTGTAGATAGAGCTGCTGCATCAACAAATCAACAAAAAGGCAGGTGCTGTATGTTACATCAAAAATTCCACAAATCTGAAAAGAAGCAACATAAAAATACATTTTGCTTCCAGTCTGAAAAAGTACAAAACATGTTGTGAGTAGGTCCATAGAAGGTCATTTCTGGATAGTTTCACACTATATAAACAAAAAAAGAAACAACAACACTGCTTCATATTAAGCAGGATTTACACCAGTATCACATTTTTAACTTTACTTTTAACACTTTTGGTTTTATTAAAGGAAATATCAGATTATCTCAGGTGGCAAAACAAAATGTAACATCTCTGTAAAGGTTCACCAGAGAGCAGAACATAAAGTTAACATGACTATAACAGCTGAATGTGGTGATTTCCATGTTGCTCAGCAAAATGCTTCATTAATTTAATCAGATCCAATACCTTTGTGGTTTTGATTTTAGTACAACCAAACTTGATAGTCTCTTTTCTGTCATAGTTGACCGTAAATATGTCTTTATGAGGCTGAGACGTCAGGCCTAACTAACATCATAGTTAGAGAAATAACGTTCTGCAACCTGATTTTTATCATCTCAAAATCAGCATTGCAGCTATGCAACATTGAGCTTTCATTATGATTTCATTTATTGATAGATAGTTAATCAGTTTTTACCTGTTTCATCCCGTGTCTCCTCTCCCCATCACCCCTGGCTCCCTCGCTTTGCCCCATTCGGTTTTCAAAACAATCAGTCTCAGTCACTCTCGCGTCATCTCATGCTGCATTCACTGCAGTCCGACATTGGAAATTAGCGGTCGTAATTCTCAAATTATCCATAATGTATAAGCCTTTCCTCTCCTACCGCCAACTGGGGTTGCAGCAGGGGTGGCAAGGCTGTCATTTAGGGTGGTATTTGCCAGTAGATCCGCCTATGTTAGTTAAACCCGCCTTCTTTCTGAGTAATGAGGAAGTGGCTGCCTCTAAATGAGGGCACTTTAACCACATTATTCATAGAATGCCAGTTACCTGGAGAACTGCTTTAAAGTAGAAAAGATACCAGACCTCGCCTTATCTGGTGGTACCGATTCATTTCCCCATCAGATACAGATCAGGTATGGTTTCCCCTGCATCTCCGCACCGCGCAAGCGGCATGATTCACCGCGCAAGCGACAGGAAACGCGCCTGCTCGCTGAAGGCGCGCAACAACCGCCCTGTGCTCGCGCCATGGGGGGTGGGGGGGTGGGGAGGACGGTATCTGATCGGGAAACGCACCTCACAGTGACACCTGTAACACTGGGTCAATGAGGTCGCAGTCTCAGCCCCAGTTTTTTCAGCAACAAAGAGTCTGAGCAAGAAAGCTTTTTTAGATAAAATATTTCATAAATTGAGTTATATCAGTTCAGAAATGTTGAAAATTAAGCATTCACTAAGGAGAAATATAGAAGTACATAAAAGTACTGTATAATAATGTAATGAAGGAGAAAATGCAACTGGCTTTTCAGATAGTGGATGGTAGATGTGGGTGGAAGAGAGTCAGAGGATCTGTGGCGCCATCTAAAGGGAGCAGCTGTGAGGAACATGGTAATTAATTCAGTCACTGGGCAAGTAGAGAGAAAGGAGGACCTAGAGTGAACGGCCTGATCCCGCAGAGGAGAATTCAGTCCAGAGTGAAGTCTTCTTGGTGTTACCGTTCTCACACGTCATGCAAAATACCTCAGGTTATCCTGAGCTACTTTCTATATTTATGCTGCTATAGGCTTAGACTACTGGAGGACATAGGGACAGCTTCATATCCTTCTGCTTCATTACATCTCGATTCTCCACTTCTATTTGTTAATTCCACTCATAAAATTTTGCTCTCTCTACTTATTTTCATCATAGTAGCTTCATCTGGTCTGTTTCTGTTATGTTTTTTCCCATTTGTGACTGAGTTTTTAGTTTTCTGTTATCATTTGTTCTTTTTTGTTCTTTGGTTTTTCGGGTTCATTTTCTTAAGAAGAACTGAAATACAGACTTATCGATACTATTCCTGCAGGAAGGAGAGACAGTTGAACCCCAGACTCAAACATACTGTCTCCCACTGGACCTCCTCTGCAGAGCAGTTTTATTAACAGAACATGACACATGGTTACAAACAGAGTTTTGTTCTGACAGAACAATTGTTCAGTTCATGAAGACAGAATGCTCCTTTAGAATGACAAGGCAGGATGGTCTCCTGACTGGATCATGAGACAGGAGTGGAGCATCCCCTTGCACAAATGTTTCATAAGCACACATTAATTTTATATTCATAATTGAATAAACCTAACAGGTCTATTTTCCATTATATTCAAACAGTCTTTAGTGTCAGGATTTGGTTGTGGTTTGAGGACCCAAATGCAGAGGTAGGGAGGCAGAGGTGAGTTTCTTGATAATTTAATGAACTATTAACAGAAAACAGAGGCAGGAATCCAAAAATCCCAGAAAAATCCAACAAGAAAAAAGTAAAACAAACCAGAAACCAAGGGGACATCAGTGGAAAACAATAATGACGAGGTAAGACACTGTAAGACAGAGTAGGTCGAAGTTTGACGAGGAACCAGCACTGAGGAACTGCTTGAGGAGTGTATTTATGGGAGACTGAAACAAAGAGAGGACTAACGAGCAGGTGTGAACAGAGCAGACAGGAAAGGAGCTAGGGAAAAGGAGAACACAAGAGTGCAGCAGAGGGCAACAAATAAAACCTGAAAACTGAAAAATAACCAGAGAACACAACAAAATAAGAATAAAACAACTAAAACTAGAAAAATGGAGCAAAGTAAAACTGAATAGTCAAAAGAAAACATAACAGAACCAGAACTGTGACAGTTCCCCCAACTCAAGGGTGGATTCCAGATGCCTGAAAATGTCCAAAAAACAATCCACACAGGGTGGGTGGAGGGGGAACCAGGAAAGGAGGGCAAGAAAACAAAAAACAAAGTCCAGGCGGGCGATGGCAACCGAAAGTCTCTGGAGGCCGGCCGTGGGGCCAGAGGTGAGGCAGAGTTTCTGGTTGCCGGCCGTAGGGCTGGAGGTTAGAAAGAGTCTCTGGATGCTGGCCGTGGGGCCTGCAACAAAGGAGGATCTCTAGAGGAGGCCGTCTCTGAAGCGGCCTTGGAGGACACCGTGTCTGACAAAGGAGGGCCTCTGGTGGAGGCCTGCGATGCAGCTGAGGGCTTTTTGAGGACTGGAGCACCTGCTGAGGGCTCTTGGAGGCCTGGAGCACCCGCTGAGGGCTCTTCCACACCAAGAGGCAAAAAAGCTTCAATTTATCGAGCCAAATGCAAAAACAGGTCAAATATAAACAGGGAATGAAAATAATTTCATGAACTACAATCAGAAAGCAGAGAGTAACCCAGCGAGAGTCTAGCTCAGATCAAACTACACATTCTGCTCAGTAGGTTCCGGAGGTATTATCAAACTACAGGCCAATCTCAAATCTCCCTTTCATATCAAACATACTTGAGAAAGCAGTTGCCACTCACCTTCAGGAACACCTCAAACACAACAACCTCTTTGAAAAATTCCAGTCAGGTTTCCGCTTCGCCCACAGCACAGAGACAGCCCTAGTCAGTCACAAACGACCCCCTAATGTTATCCGATGTTGGCTCTTCATCCCTCCTCATCCTCCTCGACCTTTTTGCTGCATTTGATACTGTTGACCATGGCATTCTCACTACTGGACTAAACGACACTGCTCTCAGGTGGTTCAGATCATACCTCAACAACCGGACAGAATACATCTCCTTAGGCCAGTCCAGATCTTTATACTCAATTTAATCAGTCTATGAAGTGTAACAATAACTTGGTAAATGGCCTGTACTTACTCCTGACTTGAAAAAGTCTGGAGACTTGACCAAAGCGCTTTACACTACATTCAGTCATTCACCCATTCACGCACACACTCACGGGGGCAAGCTACATTGTAGCCACAGCTGCTCTGGGGCTCACTGACAGAAGCGGGGTTGCTGTACACTGGCACCACAGTTGGTTAAAAGGAGAGTCTGACTTAATACCATATTCAGAATTTGAATCAGCACTTCCTAATTTTTGTAGATGATTCAGAAAAGACTGTTCTGTACGTTTGTTGCCACAAAGTAATGGAGAGCTCTCAAAATCTGATCTTTTTATATCACAATACCTGCAGGAGTAATGGCTGACACTAAAGTTATCAACAAATCCACCAATGCTGTGAGACCCTAAACTGCCACCTGAAATCACACACAGTCGACCTTTGACAATTAGTCCATTTATCTCGTTGCCAGTCCCCTCAAGTGATTTGAAGTCTTTGATGAGGGGCTCAAGTACATTGTCCATCCCAAGGTATTTGAAATCCTGCTCCTTACACAAGAAAACTAGCTGCATTTGATCTATGGATGATCTGTTATGTGGCAAAATATCCGTTAGAGTGAGATAAACTGCTAGAGTCTTATATTTCTTTTTAGAAGAACCAAGTGGATTAACCACTACAAATACATTCTGGTAAAGTATTAGACTGACAGAAGATGGCTCTGCTTTAAACAAAGGGTTACACTTTGCTCCATTCCCATCATTTACATCTTGGAAAATACCCTCTGATGATGGTTGAGAATATGTGGCTGCATACTGCTCCTGCATGGATTTGCTTTTAAAAAGGGCAATTCCACTTAAGTTTTCCTACCTTCAGCATATTTAATCTATGCTAATTAAAAAAAACTACAACACCTAGACACATCTAACCTTGACTAGATTATTCTAAACTACTTGTTGAATAATTTAAACTTGATTTGGGATTTGTGAAACCTTTCTCTGAGTTGTGAAACCTTAAAAAAAAGTGTTCATGTTGCACTAGAAGTGGTCTAGCTCTAAAACTACAACATGTAGACACATCACACATGGACTAGATTATTCTTTTCTACTGGTTAAATAATACAGCATAATAAAAATAAAAGTCAAAATAGGCAAAAGTGTGTTAGTATGAGAAAACATAGATGAAAAATGCCAAAATTCACTTCAAAACACTTTTAGTTAACAGCTTAGCATCTCTATTTCTGCCCGAATTTGCATCAGCAGCTCCTCTGTCTCACTGAAAAAAAGACATATATGAATCAATCCCTTGAATAGATTCCTATATACCGGCTATCACAGGTAAGGTTATGGATTATACTCTGTCATGATGTAGCAGGTTACTAGCCCAAATGCAGAACTCAACAGACACAGAGGCAGGATTAAAGTCCAATATTTATTGGCAACACAGGTCTC